AAAGGTGTTGGCTCAAAAATGCTTCACTCACTATCCCCTGGATGACCAGCTGCTGCTGGACTTGGCAATTCTCCCATGGTTAATCCACACCTCTCACTCCCCCCTTGTACAGATGAGTGCTGTTACCCTTCTCCCCTAAGCTCCCTGAAATAAATGTACCAAGCTTCAGGCAAAGGCTTAATGAAAAGAGTCAATTAGGTTATAGCTTTAAATTATTCTTCCTTCCACTTATTTGAAATTGGGCTCTTAATTGATAGTGTTCCAAGTATCCAAGGTTGTTCTTTGTATATCTGGATGGTGAAAAAGTATTACAGAACCACCTGAAGCAGCAAATTTTAACTCTAAAGCCTATAAAAATTAATGAAATTTGTCTTAAGAACACTGCCAAAATGTGAAAAAGGAATTTTTGTTGTTCTTGTAGAAATTGAGAAAAGAACCTCATCTCTACAAGTTATGAATATAGTTAAGGTGAGACAACAAGGGAAAAAAAGAAAATTCAAGAATTTCTATTTGAAAAATTTCAAGTTTTTCTATTAATTTAAAAAGGTTAACATTTCTACTTCTCAATGCAATTAAGAAGAAACTGTCCTTACGGGAGCCATCTCTCACCTCAGATGATCTTAAATTGGTGACATTTCAGGGTCAACACTTTCAGTTCTTAAGAGCCGATCTGAAATGTTTCCACAGTAGGGAAAAATAATTTAAAACTATAAGCCAATGGCTCATTCCAGTGACAAGTTAAGGTGGTATACAATCAGTATCACAGAGGACACCTGGTATTGGTGTTTCATTTTAGACCTGGGTTCCAATTGCAGACACTAATTATGTGTTCCTGGGCAAGTCATTTAACCTCTGTGACTCAGTTTCCTCACCTGGAAAATGACTCTGCAGCCTCTGAAGATCTCTTTTCAAGATCTAAAACTAAAATCTCAAGATCTATGTGGGGACAGTGCACTGAGCCTCTCTAAATCTGTTTTCTCATTTGTATAATGAAGATGGCATTTACTTCTGTAGGTTTTATTGTGATTCAAATTACTGTAAAGTATATTGCAAAGCACTGCATAAATGTCAACTGATTTCTTCAGCAATGAAGTATTTTAACCTAAAAAACTCATCTTCTACATAAAGAACCCTAACCTGCCCCACCCCCATCCTAAAATGTGACTTAAAGAGGGATATATTTTAAAATGAAGGTGATATAAATGCTAAAGTTATTGTTTAATAGTCAGAAAATGCTAATACTTAAGGGAAATGGATATTATTTGGAAATGAATATGATATGAGAACTAAAGGTACCACTTAAAAATTAGGGGAAAAAAAAACCTGTTAATCTTGAAGCTAGCTATTTAGACCTCAACTCTTTAAGTCTAAACTGTCCCTATAAAGACAAAGCCAGTGTTTTAGTAGAATAGGAAGTTAAATGCCTGTACTAGTTCGTGTCAAAATTGATTCAGTTCTGCCTGTATATATGTCCATTTCCTACTGAAATACATCCTTCAAGTAAAATTACAACATGAGCAATGAAAGAGATGTTTCTTTTGTTAAATCTGGAAGGGTAACTAAGGAGTTCTTTTCAGTAATCCCAGGTTATTATTTTATACACACTGTGCTGTCTTTATGGATGTTCTAGGTCATCTTCCTCTGAGGAAGGTAACTGGCCACCTGCTGCTTCATTCACGGAATGTTTGGTTGGATCTTTTTTCCCACTAATCTTATCCCTCATCTTACTTGGCCCATTTAATTTTCCTTCCCCTTTAAAACTTAAAAACAGGGGGAAGGTGGGAAGGGGTTGCAGCTGTGTCCCAATGAGGCAGTGAATCACATGTGCACGGAGTCTGTTAGGACCAGGAGACGGGAGCTGTAACACACCTCACCATTCCTAATCCGACACGTGTCCGGTCTTGGGTTTTTGCTTTGGTTTACCTCGGCTGCTTCCCCCATGCCACCTCAGACTGACGTCCACCTCTGCAGCATCTCACCAAGGGCTGGAATGAATTCTTTTCGAAGAGATGTCACTTGCTCGACTAGGTCAAAGGATGTACTTGAGAGCGGTTTAGTCAAAAACCTCTCATCAAATAACAAAAATAATGTATCTGTCAAGCCCAGTCTTGTCCTTTTCCTCCTACCCTCCCCACCCACCTAAGAGAACAGAAACCCCACTTCCGAAGAAAAGTGAAATCAGTGGGTATGTTCCCAAGCACAAGGAAGATCCAGACAGTGATAGCAGCACCCCTAGGACATAAGGAAGCCATTGCGACCTATCTCTTCACCTCTTGTGGAGAGCAGGCTCCCACAAAGGCCAACGTTGTGACAATGTTCCAGTCCTTTGACCATTAACCATCCCCACCATCCTATCACTCACAGAAGCACAGAATGTTAGAGCTGGAAGGGACCTTAGAAGAAAGCAAATCCCCACTCCCTCCCTCTCTTTAGACAGATGAGGAAACTGAGGCCCAGAGAGGGAGAAAGGACTTACCAGTGGTCACACAGCTAATTCAACTCCCTCTCCCTGTTTATAGATGGGGAAAGTGAGCCCCAAAGGACTTGCCAGTGGTCACATGGCTACTCAGTGCCAGCCCTTCAATGCACTCCGCTTACTCTACCTCCACTTCCTGCTTTGCGTGTGTGGTCCTACTCTGGGTCCTTTGGGACCCTTTTGTTTCTCAACTCTTCATTCACAGGGAGTCCCGACCTGTAAGGAGCTCACTTCCCAGCAGGATCCCCAAATATGAAAAGCCCTATGCTGTTTTCTTCCTGGTCACCAAGCACTTCCCCCTTAGGACAGGTTAAGAGGGTACCTTGGAACTGGAGAACTCTCCATTTGGTCATCATAAAGCAGCAGATAGCCCCTTCCACTTTTCCTCCCACCCAAATGTGGCTATTTAAAGGCTAAGTTTTGGCCTTTAAAAATACTATATTGATTCAAATATAAATCAAGGTATTTTTATTTTATAAGGAATAGCAATTTTTTTCTTCAAAAATTAAGTTTAAAAACTAGAAGACAGGATTCAATTCATATATATTTGGAAAAATACAGTGATTTATAATGAAGAAACACTAGTAGTGTGAAACATTGTTGTGATTGCTGCCCATTTCTAACAATGATAGGAGGCATCCAGTTCAAAAATTTGGTATCTATTTCACAAAAAAGTGGAATAATAAAATGGACTTATTGCCACAGAATGTAAGCTACTAACACCTGCAGCTGAGGCCAGAGTTTAGAGTTTATGGAGTTCTAAAATAAGGTTTTATAGTTAATGCCCTCTATCATGGGAACATAGCAAGAGCAGAATGGGCAAATGTATTATTTACAACTAATTTGCCAACTATATTTAGGTTACTAAGATGAAGAAATATGGCAAATGGAATGCTGCTTCTCAGTTACAGGGGAAATGATGACTTGAAGATACGCCTCTCTTGCCCCAAGGATGTTGGGTAGTGCAGAGTGTGTGCATTCAATGATGACCATGCTCAAGATGCCAAGTTTCAAAAAGGAGTTACCACCACATGGCTACACGGCCCCATGTCAAAAATGATTTTCCTCTTGCCATTGCATAATGGAAACACCAGATTATGCAGGGTAACCCATGTGGATGTTTTCAACATGAACATCAGATCTATTTACATTGCACTGGTGAATGAGCTAGCTGTTTACCTTTAAAAATAAAAAGCAAACAAACAAAAAAAACAAGCAAAATTAAATAAGGGAAGGGAAGGGAGGTAGAAGAGAGGAGAGGACACGATGCAACAAACCCCAGGATCTTGCGGTGCTCCAATCTAACACTTTAGCTAGAACGACCTTCAGAGACATACTCTCAGCCACCTAAGTAACCTACATACAAGTAGAAAACATTTTTAATTCATCCAAAGACGGCAATAGCTCTGATGTCAAAAGATGCTAATTTTTGGATTTGCATATTTGTATCAGTTTTAGCTACATTTCCCTGAAATTTGGGCCCCATCTCTTAAATATTGCTCATAAAATCAAGAAAGTGAGGTAAAAGTCAAGGATGGGACACAGCTGACTTTCCAGTGAGACAAAATGTGTGAAAACTGGAGGTCAAATATCTATTAAGACAATTAAGTCTTAATGCTATAATCATAAAATCTTTTTAAAACCTACTCTTTGGCTAGATCTCATTAAATCCAATTTTTCTCTTCATCAAAAGTTTCCAAGGGAAGGATTTCTACCAATACTGTTTGCTTCCAACATGCCACATTTGGCCCTATATTGAGCCCTCTCCCTCTGGTCCTCCTCAGTGTACATGGCTCTGCAAAAACACTATTGGGTTAGGGAGTAAGGGTAGGGGTAGGATGGACCTGTAATTTCATCAGTGTGGCCAACTCCCAATGTGGAAACCTCTCCCACCAAAGCAGCTCCACAAACTCATCTACAAGTTAGCTGGAGACACTGGACAGGGGCAATGAGAGGTTAAGCGACTTGCCCATGGTCACAAAGCCAGGATGTGTTAGAGGCAGGATTTGAACCAAGGTCTTCCTGACTCGAAGGTCTACCCTCATTCATTACGTCCTGCTGCCTCTCAGCAACGTGTCAGCCAATGATATAGACAGAGTAATGTGAAAAGCACTTCTAGGTAGTCTACTCTGCTTAATACTATACCTAAACTTTAGGCTCTACTAAAGTAATCATGATTTTAATTTTTTTCAGGTCAGTATTCCTCAATGCTTCCATTTCCAGGACTGGATTCCACACTGGGAAAATCCAGCAAAGTACCAAGAGACGATTAAGTTATGACTTGGAGTTTTAAAAATTAAATATACTACTCTGCTTAAAAAAAAGGTGGGAGGGTTTGGATTGCACGCACTATTTAACCTTAGCAAGGTATAAAACAAGTAATAAGTCCTCCTCCCTTTTCATGTAGAATACCTCCCTACAAACTTAAGGCCAAGCTAAGGCATATTCCATATGCTAAATAATGAATTACACCTTCCAAAGATGACCATATTGGGTTTTTTAAAAGGGCATTCCACTGGGATACAGTTCTTTGTCTTTCCTAAGAAGATCATTGTACATCTGATCATATGTTGTTTTGAAATCATAAACATTCGGCTTGTCTGGTGCTGGTCCTGGAAGCTTCACATGAGTTCCTGTTCCAAAGGATCTGACACTGAATCCTCGTTTGCTGAAAGACACAAGAAGAAGAAAAAATTTCAATTAGATTAACTGACTCAAAATTCTGTTAGTTTGGATGGGGGCAATGATGTTAAGGGAGGAAAATGTTAGCGTATACTTGCCTAGAGAAAGTTTTTGTCCCAGTTATTAATACCTTCTATTTTAATAATAATGCTCAATGTTACTAGTGATGAAAAATGTCATAGATATCAAAAATATCAAGGTGAAAAGATTCAGAAAGACAAAAGAGTCTTTATTCTACCACCATGAGGTCATTTCCTTTATGAAAAATCTAAACAATACCCTCAAATTAGGCATCCTACTCCCTAAAAAGACTTTATTTCACAACCTGTGTTCCCACACTCTAAAAGACTTCTGAAACACTAAGGCTTTGCTTAAAATTGCTACACTAAAAGGTCTTACAGTCAGTTGACAACTTTTTTTTTTTTTTTTTTTTTAACACATGAGCACAATTGAAGAAATGTTCTAGAACCATCAAGTGTAAATGATGAGACCCTGGGAAGACATTTAGACAGTGCCCCCTACCCTCCCTTCATATTAAAGACCAATACTTACCAATGCAGAGATTCTGAAATTTTAAAAACTTTTTCAAGCTTTACAACCTTTCACATCATAATCCATTCTAAGGTTTACTATAACCACCAGGAAAATCATGTCTGTGTCTGAGAGTGTGTGAGTGTGTGTGTGCGAGAGAGAGAGAGAGAGAGAGAGAGAGAGAGAGAGAGAGAGAGAGAGATTGAATTTTAAATCTGTTTCTTTTACTGCTGCCTTTAGTTGACCATCCTTTGTCAAAGCCCTTCATATACTGTGGGCTCATTCCTTTATTACATAGCCTCCTCTCTCAGCTTCCTTTCCAGTTTAATAGTAACTATAATAGATCTGTTAAGTAAGACGGTAGCAAAGCCAATGACTACTGCTCACTCTTTCACAACCAATGATTTAAAAGACTAACCCTGATAACAAAACAAGCTCTGAGTCAGGAAAAATCGTGCTTAGCTCAAAGGTTTGAGCAGCAGTGAAATGCTGCTTCAGAAGTTGATTAATATTTTGAAAAGTGATCTCACTTTCCCACTTCATTAAGGTTTCTAAAATTTTATTTTGGTCAATTATGCAATGTGGATCTTAAGAGTCCACATAAGCATTCTTAACAATTTGATGCTACCTTTCATAGGAATTTCAGATTCACCACCTGACTCTGAAACACCTGTTCAAATTACTACTAAATTTAAATCACTATAAATTTTAATGCCAAAAATTTTAGCTTTGTTACAACTCAGAAATTATATATCATACTAGCAAAATTGAAGTTCCAAAAGGTCTTAGATGCTAGTCAACAGAGCCCACCAGCCATGTACTTCCTAGTCTTGCCTCATTTTACAGAGGAGCAAAGCTAGGTCGAAGGAGATAAAAAGTACTTGCCCAAGCCATCCAGTCCCACTCTCTGAATAAGCAACTTGAGATTAACATCAAGGCTCTTATTTAGGTTCTGAAAATCTTTCTAATACTAGCCAAGAACCTTGGATAGGCCAACAACAACACTCTAGTACCTATTTTGGATAAAGAAACTATTTACTCAAAACTCACAATTCTTAAGAGCATCTTATTCCCTTTCCCCATTTTGACTATTTCTTCCTCCCTTGAAATGGATTTCTCACCATAAATAGTTCTCATCTGCTTATGAACCACCTGGTTTTTTTTTTTTTGGTTACGGTTTCAAATGAATGATTAAAAGTTCAGCCTCTCAGGTTAGAAAAAGTAGTACTTTCCAGATAGAAGGAAAGCCACATATTCAGTTCCCCCCCCCCCACGCTAAATAATCCAACACTGTCCAGGAGTCTACACTGGGGAACAATGCCAAATCTGTGATGACGAGCATTTCAGCTCTGAGTACTACAATAAATAAATGAATGAATGAATAAAGATCTGTTAACACAAAACTAAAAAGCAATTTTTCTATGTTGAGTCATAAATATAAGCCCAACTTTAAAACGGGGCTGGAATTATGAACATAGGCTTCATGTCAACATGCTCAAAACTGTGCAAAGTCTGCCCACATACTGCCTTGGCCCAGCAACATGGCAGCCAACCTGCAGTCCAAAGAGAGTGCTTTAAGCAACAAGTGTTCCTGGAAAGTTGTCTGAAAGGTTTCTTTATAGGCTGTAGAGAGGAAATGTAAATAAAATTCCACCCTTCCAACTAGCTTGACACTTCAGAGACAAGTGATTTTCAAAAAACATTAATGCTCTAGTCTATTACACTTCATTGTCAATATGAAAACAGCAGTGTGGAATAATTCAAAATGTTGGAATACTGAATTTTGCTTTGTCTCTGTTATTTTCTGATCTACCTTCCATCCATCAACAATTTTAACTCATATGACTTCCCGGAAAATATTCGTTTCATTTTAAATTCAGTCACCTCTCTTCCAAGACTCACATTGTACAAGGTTTCACACCCAAAGTTGTCAGGTAAGGACATCCTCAACTAATTTCTAGCAGCTCTCAGCCCTTTCTCACTGACTTTACAACCCCCAAAGCACTGCTGGTTAACAATCAACACCACCCTTAACTCAGTAGGAACTGCTGGGAAACGGTGGTAACTTGGAGAAGTGAGAAATCCTCCAATTTGAAGTTCTACAGTAACTTGTCTTAAAACAACTTCGTTCTGCACAGAACAGCAAATCAATCAATCATGCTCCTAACCGAAGCAGTAATACAATAGGCTCCTAGAAAATCTCCCTGGCATTTTACATATCCCCAGCCAAGACAATCCTGTTTGATGTTTGGGGAAAGTATTAGTCATTTTGAAGCACTGCCACACCACCAAAGGTCTAGGCCAGGGCTTCTTAAAACTTTTTCCACTCTGGTGACCCCTTTTGGCATTTTCTTGTTGAGTGGCCCAAGGGCACAAATTTGCAGTGCAAAGTACACATGCTTTGTGTTCAAAACCAAGGCTGCAGTGAAGTTGCAGGATGCAACAGGGATCCATCACACCTCTGATTTTTAATTTTTGGTCTTTGTGTGTTCAGAAATCTTTTGCTGTTTCCAAATTTTCTGCACAGCTTTGCACCATTAAAACAAAGCACTGAGAGAAGTAACAACATCTTAAATGAGCAAGAATTCTCATTTTAAGATTTGGTCCAAGTGTCATAACTTATCTACCAAAACTAATAATGCAGTCAGAGGTTGACTCTTCCTCTTAACTATTAACAAGAAACCTTTCACATTCCCATTCTTTTCCCACCTAACACACCCAAAACCCCATAGGAAATGGTCCTGCCCTTCTCTTACATATGTCATATTTCCTTCATTATAGTTCATCTATCAGTGTTTCACCTGCCCTTGAGGAGTGTCAACTTGAGTTCAGGGATAATGCCTTTAACTTTTAAGAGTACTCTGCTAACTTGTTACTATGTAGAATTTAATATAGATTTATCAAATAAAATATTACATTGTTTTTCCAAAATCTTTTCAGCAACAGATGCAAAAAAAAAAAAAAAATTCCATAAACAAATGCCTGATAAAAGTGATGATTTGATTCAAGATTTAAGCTCCTACTATGGAATCGTGGTCGGTGCTGGGAAGCCAAAAACAAAATTCTTAGTCCTTGCCCTCAAGTCAGCATAGAATGCAATACATTCCAGGTCTGGGCAACAACAGCTTGTGCTAAGGCAGGGAAAAGGGAGGTGCCAAGGTCAAGCACAGGAAGCAGCAAGGCCGCCTTTGGCTGGGACACAGTGTGGAGAATAACTGCAATAAGGCTGGATGGGGGGGGCGGGGCGGTCCAAGACTGTGATAGGCTTTATGAGCACTTCGTTGTGATTTTAGAGGCTAAAAGGAATAAATGGAATCTGTGCTTTGGGGCCTATTAATCTGATAGCTAGGTAGAGGGTGGTTTAGGGTGGACTGAGGGCAGGAAGACCAATGAAGAGGCTAGTCTGGGCAAGAGTATTGATAATAGACACAAACTGAGTGGGGGCTGAGGAAAGCTATACATTGTCATATAGCCAAAGATGAAGTCAGTTAATCCTTGAAATTTATCCAAAATGCAATATAATTCATTCCATTGACTAATCGCTGTATATTCCTATAACGGAAAGGGCAAAGAAATCATTGTCTGGAGGGCAGTGACCAGTAAGTGGCTTCAGTGGTCCACATCACTGAAGCAGAGGGCCAGTCCAAATGATTACACCCCAAGAAAGAACTGCATTAGTTACTATTCAATGATATTTCAGATAGTAACATGGGCTATATTGTGAAAGCACCAACTAGACAAACCATCCAAAGGACAATTATGAATGTGTTTGACATGTAAATATCAATGTTTACCCTCAGAAGCTTCTAATCCAAATGGAAATTTTAACTTTTTAATCTAATGCAAAACATTCCAGAGAATTAAATTAAAATTAAAAAAAAATTAAATCAATTTTACGCTATCCAGCACATTCAATGTCCCTAATCCTTCTCTTATCTTACACTGCCTAGATGATAGAATGGGACAGAATTCACTTCTAGGGAGAACTAGGATAAGATTAGGGAGGAAAGGGGGAAATAATGCAGAAACTCATAGGGGTTGCTTCAGAAATTTGCCCTGCCTACATTACTTACCTATCAGTGGGAACTACAAGGCCTTGTAGAAAGCAGTCAAAAGTTTTGGGGGTTTTTTTGAATGAATATATAACAGCTGAGTGAACATTTAATTCTCTTTTTCTGTTTGGGAGGGGGAAGAACAAGGCAAGGGAAGGACATGAGAAGCAGCTGAGTTTAATATCTGATTACATAGCACAAATATCTGAAAGAGGAAAGAAATGATAGGCTAACTAGGGAAAGGTGCTCACAAAAGGAATCTACATTTTGTACTGTGAGAACAGAGGATGTTATCTGGTTTGAATGAAGGTTTTGTAATCAAACCCTAAAGCCAGTGAAGAGGTTAACACATTCCTGTGAACATTTTATGTTAGGATAAACTATGACCTCATACCATCTATCT